TAATTAGAGTCAGTTGATTGTTCATTATTTAAATAAATAAATAAATATTTTAAAAATTCTTTAGACATAATTAAAAAAAATTATTATTTGAATTTATCGAATTTGATTGAGTGGTTGCCAGGATATTTTTAATCAAAAGTCGTGTTAAAAATTTTGGTAGTTTTATATTATAAACATTTTAAAAGTTCTCAAACTTTGATCGAAGATATCTTGGCAACCACCTGATCAATTCAATAAAATTTTTTTTTATTCAAATTCTACAGATCTGTAGAATCCTAATAAAAAATTTGGTCGAGTAGTTGCTGTGATATCTTCAATTAAAATTAAAATTTTGGTGCAGTTTCCATCTAATATGCGTTTTAAAAAATTTAAAAAATTTAATCGAAGATATCTTGGTATCTACTTGACCAAATTCTATAAAATTTTTTATTCAAATTTTACAGATCTGTAGAATTTAAATAAAAAAAATTTTATTGAATTTGGTTGAGTGGGTGCTGAGATATCTTCGATCAAAGTTGTGTTAAAAATTTTAGCATAGTCATCATATAATAGGTGATTTAAAAAATTCTAAAACTTTGATTGAAAATATCTTGGCATCTACTTGACCAAATTTGATAATTTTTTTTTTATTGAATTCTACAGATTAGTAGAATGTAAATAAAAAAAATTTCATCGAATTTGTTTAGAGAATAGTTAAGATATCTTCATTCAAAATTTTATAAATCAAATTTTGAGATCGTCAATTTAGTCCAATCAGAAATGCAATTTATTGATAGCTAATAGAAACTTGAAGAAAATTAATAAATACAGAATCAATCACATGCATGTTTATACATATTCTAAGTATTAAATGCAGTCATAAATATGTATATTCGTATATATATACATACGCAATTCTTGAATATATATCAGATTTATAACATAGTCAAAATTCTTTAAAGTTTCTTTAGGTTATAGAAGTTATGAGGGTATATAGTAAAATTACTCAAGGAAAACCTTTTGCTTATACGTGAAGAGTAGTTTTATATACAATATTTCAAGAAATAAGCAATTTTTTGACAAAATAGCTATTTATTTTGAATTCTCATGTTCGTATTATATTATACCTGATCTTGAAATCTGATTCATAGTTCAGACAATCTGTGCTACAAACCTAGCACATGTTTAAGAATTTCTATACTATGCAATGATAATTATTTATTAGCTATAATTCATCTATATAACACTATCATTTTTTGTATGTATTGATCTTTCTAATCATTTAACTTACTTATTTTTGCTTATTTTTTACTTTCGCTCACTATATATATATATTTTTTTATTTTTGTTTGCTTTTTTTCTTTCACTTAATTAGAATATGATCGAATAATATATACAAAAATGCTCAGAACACATATAGAACATGCTTGATTAAATAATTTTATTCATTTTGTAATAAATATAATGAAGCAAAAGATTTGCAAGAGAAGATTTATTATAAACTGCTAACTCATGTATCTGGATAATTATAGTGCTAGAAATGTACCTAGGTACCTTTTTCATTTTGCTGTATCAAAGTTTTGTTTTATTAATTGTACAGTCATACTTCTATATAAGCAACTAAATAAGCACATTACCTGTATAAGCATATTGATTTTTGAACCAACTACTAATAAAAAATATATTTTCTTATATAAGCATATTTTTTATATACGAACACTTTTTGTGAGTTCCAATATTGTGATTATATGGGAGTGCAACTGTATTTCTATAGACGAAGTGCTGATTTATGGAATATACATTGTATATTACTAATCTGTAAAAGAAATTTTCGCATTTAAAATAGCCTGGTTATATATCATAGGGGTATATGATATTAATTAGCATAATTACACTCAAAACAAACTATATTGGCAACCTAATTTCACGTATTGATATACTATTTAAATAAAAATAGAAAAGCTAAGTAATCTTTCTAGCAAAAAAAAAAAGACAGAGATTCATATATTATTCACTATTATTCTGTTCACATGTTCTACTATTATGTCTGGTTTTTTGATATAGGCTACATTTATTAATACGTCTTTCTGTTTCAATCAATTCGAAGCTAGAGGGATCTCTTTGGGTAGACGATTTATTTTTCGCACCAACTGAATGCCCTTTTGTATGTTGTATCTGTAGATTTTACACAAATACGGTTAGTTTTAAGAATAAACTTGACATTTTGTTTAAAGTTGCGGTTTGTCTAAGAGATGACTAAGAATTAAATTGCTGGTTATATTCCTGCTATTGTTGCTACAGAGTATTTTCAGAGCTAGATGATATATTTATAGGAGATTGGTAATCTTGAAGATGCAAATATTGGTAAAAATCGGTAAGTTGCAAGTACTGGTAGTTTATATGACACTTCAGGATTATATAAAAGCAGAGTAGATCTATAGATGAATTAAAAATACTATTACAGGATTGTAGTGAGTTTTCTGAAGTCGAATTAGTTGTCTTTTGAAATTGTTTGTGTACTTTTTTCAGTGTGAATATGGATATCTTGGTTACAACCTGCGTGTAGAATTAGTTATTTAGGGTATGAGGAATTCGAATTTTCTCTTGAGAAACCATAGTTTGAATTTCTTGATTTTGATTTTTTAAAACAAGAGAAATTTTTTGGTGAACAGCATGGAGATCTTCTATTGAACCTAAAGATATTTTTTTATCATTGCATGAGCACCTTCTACTCGAGATTGATCACATTGCCTAGGTGTAAGTAGTGATCAACCCAAAAACTTATGAAACTTTCCTTAAATAGTAACTATATATATTGTATAGTAAATATGACAAAATTGAGGGTTTTTCATTATATTTTCTCTCTAATCCTTTCTACTTTTTATTAAAGTCTGTTTCTGTTTTAGATCCTGTGATATTTGTCTAGTTTTTAAAAAATCAATCTATTCTTCTTCTT